ATGAGATAACGAGGGTTAGCATCATTTAAATCAGGCACATAATCAGCCGCTGAATAGTAATAATCGGTTGGATTTACATAATTGCTATCATTCTTATTATTATCGTATAAAACATCATAATTCTCCACATAATCGCCAGAATTATTATTTGTTTGTCTATTAATTTTAGTTAATCTCTTTCGACGGATTAGCGAATATACGACAAACGGTATGAGAATTAATAGCCCTAACGAACTGCAAATCGCTATAATTGTTGCGATACTTAAACTCCACGGTTTGGCCGCTCGTACGGTAGACCTAACTCTGGCGCATATCCCGGCGCTTGACTCGCGATCCGCGCGAACGCTATTTAGTATAACAACTCTGTCATCGCTATCCGTTTGATATACCCTAACGTAATCGATGATAAGCGCCGGACATTCCCAACCGTACACATCATCGAGACTGAGGTTATGTCTTGGAAAGAACACTCCGCCCACTCCCAGGTTTATAACGATTCTAAAAGGTTTTTCAACGAATGGCTGTCCATTGCGTGTGTATTGTGCCGATAATACATGAGTCAAATTAAACGAATGGTGTTTATGGCCGTCGAAATACCAGTCAATACCCGATTTAGTCCACTCAACAGCGTATGTATGAAAGTCATTGAGACGAGCGGTAGTGATGTACTCACTATTATCCGGTTTATATATAGGTGGAGTACTAAAGTGGACTCCGTTATACAGTATTTGCAACTGATTATTGGCCATAACATCGATCTGACCCCCGAGTGCCCACTGGGCGGGCATCAGGGGCTCCATAACGATGGCCGGGCGCAGCATTTTTCCCTTCGGCAGAGCGGCCCTAATCTCGAAGCGACCGAAAGTCCAGCCGATTTTAGTCTTGATTTTGGCCGAAGTGTACTCTTTATCGAAATGTTGTTCCGTTTGCCGAACGGCTGTTATGGCCAGACAGTCGTCTATGAGTTGCAAGTTTTGACTTTGGTTTACATTGCAGTTCAGTTGTCCGATATGATTGCCTGTCGGTATAAACACGTGGTAAATTTTATATCTCAATAGATATCTTGTTAATTAATCACAATTTATTTCTAAACAATAAGTAATATTGTAAAGAAAATTTAATACTCTGTTAAAAATAAAGTGTTACATTAAAGTTCTTGTATACTGTGTACTTTACATGTATTTTACATTCTACTATGGCATTATATATTAATATTATTAAAACAGTAAAAATAAAATATTATATAACTTAAAACAATTAATTAAATATCTCTAAACTTATATTTTAAAACATATTGAAACATAAATAAAATGATCTGGGTTACACTTGATAATAATAAATAACGCTTAATTGCATAATGCTTTACAGACCCAAACAGATGCCTGACTGCCACTCGTCCTCCACTTCCCATAGGCTTGAATCTAATTGTTTGCCATTGAATTCTTGGCTCCAAACTAGATGTAAATTCTGGTCGCAATTTACACAATAAATAAGTAAAATATGTGATAATATTTCAATTCTCATTTTATCTGGGTTGATTTGAAATTTAAATTGTACATTATTATTAATTAACTAAAATTATTAATAGTTTTACTTTTGCATTATGTCTACTTATTTTTGTTATTTAGACAAAACCTTATATAAATATAAATGCGTCAACAATATAAAGTATTTACATGTATTGTTTGCCTTAAAATGTAATTTCCTTTTAAATAGTATATAGTATATTATCATTTAATGCCATTCATATAAAATAATTTTTAACCACAATTCAGTATGAATAATTTGGTTTATAGGATCGTTTGGCTACCCCCTCCCCCGACCCGATGTGTAATACTAAGCCTATGGCATAGGGATAACATGGGTAATGCTAAGTCTATGGCATAGGAATAACATGTGTAATGGTATATCAATGGGAAGGATAACATGGGTAATGCTAAGTCTATGGCATAGGAATAACATGAATAATGCTAAGTCTATGGCATATGAATAACATGAATAATGCTAAGTCTATGGCATAGGAATAACATGGGTAGTGCTAAGTCTATGGCATAAGAATAATATGGGTAATGCTAAGTCTATGGACAATGATAAGTCTATGTGTAATGCTAAGTCTATGGCATATGGATAACATGTGTAATGGTATATCAATGGGATTATAAATAAATCTGCTATAATAAATAGAACGAATTGTTGTCAAAAACATTTAAAATTCTCAAAATAATAATAGTGATAGTATTGTAACAATAGTATTGAAAAATTTAAACTCTTTGATGCACTTCCCGAATTGTGGTTAACGTATAGCATCGCTGTGTGATCCTTGTTTAATGATGTATAAAAACTAACTCATTATACTATTAAATATTTAAAAAAATTTATTTATTTATTTTCAGTTATTATATTTATACAATTTGTAATAATTTTAAATGAACACTAATACTTAAATTATAATTATTAGTAATAATTAATTGTTAGACGATAATATTAATTTTGTTATATATTTAGATATTATTAAAATAAATTTTTAAAAATTAATATTAAAAAAGAAATTAAAAATTTAATCAAAAATTAATTCTTTATTTGGCTTTTAATTCACAAAAGTTCGTTTGAAAAGTCATTTTGAGTTAAAATTCTTTCATACTTTTTAGGAAACGACTCAATGTTTTAAATATTGGCGTCAAAAACGACATATACTTTGAATTGTCTGCGGAGTCGGCAATCAATTCGCATTGTTGGCTGGCTTTCAGCTTGGTCATATTTTCAGCACATTTGATTATATCCCGGTATATATCACCAACTATTCCAACACTATCGCGCGCCAAAGTGCCGTCAAATAAAGCCTCAGTTTGAGTCTCATATAAATTCACAATACTATATCAATAAATAATAAATTGTGTCAATTATTTAGCAATATTAATCAAAACTATGATTGGGGCGAAGCTATTTATAACTTGATGTGGTTATTGCATTACCTTGATAATTTATAACACATTATTCACTATCACCGTTACAGTTATTATAGACATCGAGTGCCCTGTTTTGATATTATGAGCATAAAAGTTTTAATTTAAAACCCCACTTTCTATATGAGTATTACACCATATACATGCATAGTGTAACACATGCATAGAGTATAAATTACATAGTAATAAAATTGCCTTGGAGCTGCCCTGACCCATACATAATCTAAACAGATTCCCAGTAATAATTACTGCTAGACCTGGTCTTATCAAAGGTAAAATTGTAGAATCCCAACGTATTCATATAACATGTAAAATACTAGATAATATACAGTATGTATACAGTCAATTTCACAATAGGGCCCGGGTCTTAAATAAGGATTACTAGTAAACTAAGTACAATTTAAAAAATCTAATTCGGTACGATTATGGGCATTTATGGGACGCAAAACTTGGCAAATTTAAATTTTTTGATTAACTTCTCAATTTTTGTTGAATGATGAATAATTGTTGCTCAAAAACTACTGGGTCGATTTTTGCGTTCTATATCTCAAAATGTACATAATGTAAAATGAGTTAACACGTCTATCAGGATTTTTTTAATATAATTAATGTAATATCAAAAATAGAGCGCTATAGTACCCAAAATTTCATATTTTGCATATTTGCCATTTTTAAAAACATTGTCAATTTTAGCAATCAGTATACTAAAATGTTAAGAATCTTGTCTAGAAAAAAAGTGAATTTCAGATTTTCATTATTTTATTGTTAAGGATACTTTTTCCTAAAAATTAGGACGTAAAGATTGATTCAGTACTTTTAGCAAAACAATTATTCATCATTCAACAAAAATTAAGAAATTAATCAAAAAATTTAAAATAGCCATGTTTTGCGTCCCATAAATGCCCACAATCGTACCGAATTAGATTTTTAACCACAATTCAGTATGAATAATGTGGTTTATAGGATCGTTCGGCACATACTAAAAAGTAATGTAATATCAATGAAACGAGTCATACCATAACGCATCGGCAATCGTTGACCGGTTTGTGTCCAAACTCTCTAAAGTGGCGATAGCGGTGTCCCTCAACTTTTGGGCCTCGCTTAATTTGGCGTTCAATGTCTGACCCAATTTATCCTGGTCTTTGGCTATACAAAACCATCTCATTCTAGTGTAAGTATCGGTTGTATTCAATGCATGAAACATTGGCTGAGCCTTAGAGCCAAAACTGGCGTAATATCTAAATACAGTTCCGACATCTCCTTGTTCTCTAACGTTATGGTCGTTTTGTCGTTACATTTATTTAGAGAAAAGTATATAATATTATTAAATTAGTAATTAATGTAATGTAATATGGTAAATTAATATATTACATAGGAGAGAAAAATTTCTCGAGTTTATTATATGGCCCTAGTATAAAGCTAGTTATGAAATCTAAAATTCATTTGTCTAAATAAACAACCAAATAATTCAAATTATATAATGGTTATTTATATATTTATTATGGACAACTCTTGTCCATTTACTTTGATTCTCAAACTTTGCTGTCTTCTATCCTGGTAAATTTTATGAATATTCTATATATAAAACAATTTAACCGAAAGATTTTTTATATTTTTAGCTAAAAATATATTCAAAATACAAAATATTTATTATCAAAATTATTAAATTATGATGCATCACGGGAAGACATTGTAAAGTATAGTCCTTCCCAATGTCTGGAGAGGACTGTACTCCCGAAGGTAGGACGTTTGGCCACCCTAATTACATATCACTTGTTAAGCAAAAATTAAAACTATATAAAACCCGTCACATAACTGTCTCCATTGTTAATACATTAATATTAAATTATGCAATACTGTCAGTATTTGCATGTAGTGTTTGCTTACACATTGGCCGCCGGACTATTACATAGTTGTTGTGCCGACTCATCGGTTTCCGGGTATGGCTTACCATTTCCTAAGCCAAAAAATTTACTAGTCACTTTGTCGTATTTTTCGTCATCACTCTCCGAATCTTATAAATTCATATTTAAATTAAAAATTAATTAAATTTATATATAAAATTTTAAATATATTTATTAAACATATTTATAAACCACAGTTGCTATAAATGACTTGTGGTCAAAAATAATGTTTTCTAATAAAAAAGCTCTACTATATATAAAAAGATATTATGTTTATGTGTATTATAAATAAATTAGAATATATACATGTAGATAAAATTAATTGTTAAAATCAAAAACAAATACAGAATTTTCATACATTTAAGAAAGCGATCGATTGTTTTATAGACCGGCAATAAAAACGATAAATACTTGACATTGTCTGCGGGGGCGGCGATGAACTCACACTTCCCACTGTCCTTAGCTTTGCCCGTATTTTCGGCAAAAGTGGCGATTTCTCGGTAGAGGCCGAGCACTCGGCGGATACTATCGCGTCCCAGAGTGTCGTCAAACATGGTCTGCACTTTAGTCGCGTATAATCTTAAAATACTGTTACAAATAATAATCTTATATAAGTATTATTTTATCATTACATAAAACTTTGCCAATTCCTAGCGGCATATCTGGTAAAAAATTTAATAAAATATTTTATAATATTTAAACTTTTTACTAACATACGTGAGCGCAAACAAAAGGAGGTATTATTGATAAGTATTACCGTTAAGTTCCGTGCATTACCTGCGGGTTATTTATTGGAAAAGGATTGATATTTATATAAAATTATTGGGTGCGGGTTATCTATTGTAAAAATAGACCATAATTATTATTTTATAAAAATAATTAATTATTATCATTTTGGGCAAATGCAACAATTTGGGGAATATACAATAATTGTTGTATTTTAAGCATAATTATATCAATTAATTAATTAACAAAAGCTCTAAAAATACAACTTAAATTAAATGAAGTGAAAAATATTATAAATATGCTAATAATACAGAAACAAAACATATAGTATTATACAAGTCATACCAGACAACATCAGCAATAGATGACCGGCTTGTGTCCAAACTCTCTAACGTGACAATAGCGCTGTCCCTTACTTTTTTGGCATCGCTCGCTTTGTCGTTCAATAGCGCCCCCAATTGACCCAGGTCACCTTTTGAATTGCAATACCATCTCAATGTATCGTAAGTATCACTTCTATTCAATGAGCTAAACATTGGAGTGAACTTTGCGTCAAACGTTTTGAAATATTTAACACTAGTATCAACTTCGTCTTGTGATCTAACGTTACGGTTGTCGTCGTTTGGAATTAATATTTAAATAATTAATATTAAAATTATTACATTAGTAAATTTACATTATATAAAGTACTTAAATACTATAAATACTATAAATACTTTACATGTATTAATTATTTACATAGTACTTTCCTGCTTATGACAATGTTCTACCGCCAACTCATTCGTTACGGGATATATATTTCCGTTCCCTAAGTTTAGAAATCTGGCGATCATTTTGTCGTAAATCTCTTCGTCCGTTTCGGAGTCTTAGAAATTAATATTTAAATTAAAAATAAATTAATATTTAAATTAAAAATAAATTAATATTTAAATTAAAAATAAATTAATATTTATTTAGACATTATGTTAAATTTTGAAGTAAAAATTCGTTTGTGTGCATTTTAATGCTATGTTGAGTTTATGTTACATAAGTAATGAGTATATTATCGTAATAATAATTAATAAGAATTAGCATATAAGCTTGACATTTTTCTATTAAAGTATCATTTCACAATTAAATATATTTACGGCTGCAAAAATTTAAGAGGATGTTAAAAGGGTTTAAGGGATACTAATCTTAACAATGTTTTATAATAATTGTAGATACTTTCTTTCTTTCTCTCTCTCCCTCTCTCTCCCCGCAGACAAAGTCAAGTATAAGTCGTTTGTAGTG